TTGGGGCGGGGGGAATATTTTGGCAGGGGTTTTCTCAGTGGTGCTGTAGTGGAAGAGCTGTACAAAGCCAGGTCGAACGCGCCTCCCACTCCGTAGGAGCCCTTTCCTGGGAAAAAAAAAAACAAAAACTGGCACGAGGCAGAGTGGGCCAAGAAAGGTAAGAAATATAAAAATTCTCCTGGTGGAAATCCAAAGGTTCTAAAAAAATACAGCATTTGAAAATGAAGCCACTAAGCAGATTGCCTCATGTACCTCTCAGCTCCACCCTGATGCCCAGAAATACCTCCTGAATGAATTGTCCCTGTAGAAAAATATATACATGCGCCTTTCTGTTACTAAGATCCCCAAGGCTGACCTCAAACACTACTGAAACCCACAGCTCTGCTCATGCTTGGCTCTGCTTTTGCACCCAGGCTTGTGCTACACACCCACACACACTGCCCCCATCCCGGGGGTTTGGTGTCCGTGTGGCTGACATATCCCCATCCCACCCTTCAAAAAAAAAAAAAAAAAAAAAAAAATCAGGGTGCACCACGTCAGCCACCCCAAAAAACGGGCAGAGAAAAAGTCTTTACGGAATTTATCTAACGAGCTCTACATATATGTTGGGAAAAAAAAAAAAAATATATAAAAGCAGCAATGCAAACTCAACACATCTGAACGAGAAAGCTCCACCCTGGGCCTTCCCTGTCCTGGTGCTGGCTGGTGCTCTGTGGGCAGTGGGTGCAAGCAGGTGCTGCCCATGGGCACCAGGGACAGCCCCAGGCAGGGGGAGGAGGCTGGACTGGACCGTCCCGACGTGTGCCCCATCACTTGGCACAGCCGAGGCTCAGCTGTAGGCTTGGCACAGGGGCACGGACCGTGATCGGACTGGGGACCATGGTGCCTGGTGAGAAACAGTCTGGCTATGGCAGGGGCGGGGGGGGCCACCACGGGTGGGAGCGATCAGCACCGTGGTACAGCCGGGACCCCGAACAGCAGCAAGTGTCAAAGAGGGGAAGAGAAAAAACAACAGCGGGGATGCCAGATCCTGTGGAATCCTATTTACACCGCACCAGACCCTGACAAGTCCAGCCTCTCATGTGAAAAGTGGCCTGAAAAGCAAGTGACATAAAAAACCCCACAATGGGACGCACCTCCCAGGGCAAAGGGCCCACACCACTCGCTTGTGCGAGGTGGAAGAGATGGACCTCTGGGGGTGGAAATTTTGGCAGCCAAGAGAGCCATGACAGGTAGGAGCCTCCCCACTGCTGGAGTAGAAAAAGGGCCAAGAGGGATGGATGGGGGTGTGTGTGGTTGGGTAGGTTTTCGCGGGAAGGAAAGTGATGTGAGAGGGTTTTTTTTTGTCTGTTTGTTTTTGTTTTGTTGGGGTTTTTTTGCATTTGAAAGTGCTATGGCACGTGTGTTTTGAGTATTGCTGCTTGGAGGAGAGCCCCTGGGCTCTAAGAGCACGGGAGGTGCTGCTTGAGGATCTGTCTAGTCTGGGGAGCTATTCTGTCCGGGAAGCGGATTTTGAACTCTACGATCAGGTCTCCTCGCTGGCTGGGGGCCTTGGGGAAGGGCAGCCCCTCCCCGCGCAGTCTCTTCACTGTCCCCGGCTTGATGATGTCGCTGCAGGGAAGTGGGATCACCCGCCCGTCGATGGTGGGAATGTTCACCATGCAGCCGCACAAGGCCTGGGGGGAGAAGAGGGAACATGCCTTCAGAGGGGGCCGACACCCCAAAGCATCCTGACAGCCACACCCCGTGCCCTCCCACCGGCTGCTCGCCGGGTTGAACCGCCCAGCTCCATTCGGGTGATGCCCGAGGGCATCAGTGGACGCTCACCAGTGCAAGCCCGGTTCTCTGTTGGTGCCAGCCCAGTCTACCCATCATGAACTGGGCTGCAGGAGCCATGCAGGAGTGCCCCAGGCTAGGGGTGCTCCAGGCTAGGAGGGCCCCAGGAGAGGGGTGCCCCACCCTCATGGCGGGGAAGGACCCCCTCCCACCTCCTGGTCTCCCCAGAAGGCACCACCAGCAAGTGCCTGGCCACTCGCAGCAACAGGACAGGCTAAATTTAGCCCCTTCCCAGCCCTGGGCAGCCAAAAATCCAGCTGAGATCATCAGATGCCGCCGTGGTTCATCAGCTGTCACCGTCCGGAGCCCAACAGCTCTGCCTGGTGCTGGGGGTTATCTATAGCACAGCTCGCATCCCACCGCCCCCCCTTCAACAGCCCCCGAAAGGTTACGCCGGCGTGGGACGGCGCTGCAGCTGCAGCACAGCACCAAGCTTTCCTAGAAGCCGGGGTCCCGGAAGGCCCGGTCATCATCACCACTGCAAAGCCAAGAGCTCGTTTTGTGGCTACAAAATACCCCAGCAGCCGACAGCAGCCGGGGCGGTGGGTGCCGCGGCAGCCGCAAGCCATCCTGCATTATCGAGCCACATGATGTGGGAATGCAGCAAGAAAATCCTCATGTCCTTAAATAACTGACAGCTCTGGCATACACGTGGGCAGGATCCTCTCCAGGCTTTCGGCAAGGGCTGAGGGACTGCGGAGCGATGCTTCTGGAAGAGGGGGGGGTTTGCCAAGGGTACAGCCTTGAGCTTTCAGGCAGGGGGGCTTGGCGCAGGTTTCCCCCTCTGACCCGGGTCCTGGGGCTTCCAGCCCTCCTGCAGAGGGAGGGCAGGAGGATGCAATTGCTGTTTCTGGGGTAGATGGCAGGGATGTTCTGCATTCCCCTCCCCAGGAAATGCCTCTGGTGGCAAAGTGGCGATGGGCACCAGGAGAAACATCTCTTCTGCTCGTGCCGGCCACCGGCTCAGGGCCGACTTCTGCAGCCGAGCCAGGGCTTTGCACCAGGGCGATTGCAGAGGGACCCATGCTGGGGCCAGCCGGGGGGCTCCGATGCCTGGAGAACAGGAGAGGTGAGGCCATCTCCATGCACAGGGTCTCCTCCCGGGAAGGGTGTCCTTCAGGGACAAACTTTTCTGGCTGCAGCAGGACACCCATTGCTAGCCCCGTTTGAGAAGCAGGTGCTTGGCTGGATCCCCAGGCGGGGGGGAACCACAGGGCGACCTCCCCCCATTGATGCATTTCTGCCCTGAGCTTATCCAGGGATGCCAGAGCCCTCCTGCTCGCTGGTGCCCGCTGCCATCTGCCATAGAGGGCTGCGTGGGTCCCCGCGGGCCAGGGAAAGGACATCTCCAGCCCCAAAACGGGAAGGAGAACAGCAGCTCCCTACACAAGCCACGTGGATGGGGCAAGCAGAGGGATGCGAGCAGGAGCGGGCGGTAACGGCGAAGGCAGACGGGATCTTAATGTTTCCTTCCTAGAGCCAAGATGCAAGAATCCGAGGAGATCGCTCCTCCACCGTATGTCCCTGTTTTTCACTCTTCTTGCTCAACTTCGCTGCCATTTGGGAAACCGGTTGCTGAAGTAACACCAGTAACAGCGGGAGCTGCCCCACATCCTAGAAAGAGGCTCGGTTTATCCCCGGGGTTTGCTAGCTGAGTGCCACGCTGCGAGAGCAGAGCTTTATCTAGGTCAGCGTTAGGTCCTCCTCCGCTCGCAGCAAAGCTGCCGGGGAGGGGGACGTCGCCACCGGTCGCGTCTCAGCTGACGCGTGGATGCTTCGAGGAAGGTGACACCAGGTAAAGGATGCAAAGCGGGCGGCTGACGAGGGCAAGTGTTGGGCAGGCAGCTGGGAGGGTGCAAGCCCCTGCCT